ACTCATTATCACACACACACACACACACACACACACACACACATGCACACGCACACACACACACACACACCACACACACACCATGCGCCCTACATCGCCGACCGACCACGGATGGCTGCAGCGATCTACATTCTGTCTCTTATACACATCTAGATGTGTATAAGAGACAGCACACACACCATGCGCCCTACATCGCCGACCGACCACGGATGGCTGCAGCGATCTTGTCTCTTATACACATCTAGATGTGTATAAGAGACAAATGCATGCGTGACGCAGATGACGGTGGACTCCTGGTGCGCCGCCATGTCGTCGTCGTCCGGTCTGTCCTCGATGCTGTCTCTTATACACATCTAGAGGCCCGTTCTCATATTCGTATACGCAGCCGCGTCGCCGATGTCCGCCGGGTCCTGGCTGGTGTCCGTGGTACACACTGCGGAGGCCTTGGGCGGGTGAGGAGGGGTGGGTGAAAAGCGCGGTGACCCCGAACTTCAAAAATTCAAATTCAAATTCTCGCGGACGCAAGGCAGCAGGGGCGGAGGACGGCCAGGCGACGCGTGTGACGTACAAAAGACGGCGCTGGCGAAGCGTTCGGTGCGGGTATCCATCTTCCGACTCCACGCAAGTTGTGACCAGCGGGGGCAACTTCCGGCAAGGCGCATCTTCACCTCCGCCGTGTGTGCAGTCCTGTGCAAGCATAGAGCAGCAGGCGCGTCGTCGACTCCGGCGTAGGCCATCTCCTGTTGCAGCGTACGGCAGCGGGCGCATCTACGGGTCCGGCGTGCGTGGTCTCTCTTCGATTGGGTCTGCAGCGGGTGTGTGTTCGGTGGCCTTGGCAGGCGTCACGCTGTGGGGGCAGGACGATTCTCAGAGATGGACGTTCGCGGCAGCGGGCACGGTCTGCGCGAAGAGGAGATTGACGAGGTGGCGATGGCGGTTAGTGTCGTCGTCGTGAACACAATGGGCGGCATGTCGTCGACCTCAAGCGACATGCTGACGCAGCTCCGAAAACGAAGAGCGCTGTTGCAGCGCATTGCCGAAGCGCCGGATTGTGTGGCCACGTGTGAGGCAGTCGTCCGGTTGTGTGCCGAGCTGTCGTCTGGCGTTTTCCCGCGGCAGACCCCACGTTGGTGGATCAAACGACGGACTGGCGGAACATGGGAGGATCTCCGCCTCTGTGATGACACGATGGACGAGTACTACCGGCAGAAGTTGCGCATGTCGCAGGCCATGTTCAGGCAGATCGTAGCCGTGTGCGCCGCGTTCGTGGAGAAGAAGGTGACGCACTATAGGATGCCATTGCCAGTGGAACAGGTGATCGCTTTTGCATTGTACAGGTGGGCGTCAGGAGAGACGTACGAGAGCGGCACGTCAGCCTTCGGCATCGGCAAGGCAACTGGACTGCAGGCCGTCCGCGACGTCACTTCGGCGCTGCTCCAGGCGTACCCCGACGCGATCAAGTGGCCAATTGGGCGTAGACGTGCGCAGATTCTCCGCGCATTCCGTGACAAGGGTTTCCCGAACTGCTTCGGCGCGATCGATTGTACACACATCTACATTGACAAGCCCGCCGACGCACCTTCGGACAACTACTACGACCACAAACAGAAGTTCTCCGTGCAGGTGCAGGTGGTGGCGGATTTGGATCTGCGGATCCTCGACGTCCACATCGGATACCCGAAAAGTGTGCACGATGTCCGTGTCCTGTACAATTCCCAGCTGTCGAGGCATGCAGAAGCTGGCGAGCTGTTCGACGCACCTCCGGAGAATCTGCCGCACACGCGAGGTTACCTGCTAGGCGACAACGGTTATCCAGTTGCCTATCCATGGATCGTGCAGCCGTACGGAGGAATCGACCAAGATCCTGACGAGGAGCGCTTCGACACGCGGCAGAAGGTGGCGCGGGGGTGTGTGGAGAGGGCATTTGGGCGACTGAAGTGCATGTGGCATCTGTTCTTGCGCACTCACAAGACGAACCTGGAGACCTTGCCACAACAGTTCGTGGCCATGTGCACTCTCCACAACATCCTCCTCGACGCGGGGATCCACTTCAACGAGAACCTTTTGTGGGAGGTGGATGAGAACGGCATTCGGCGTAGAGTAAACTTGGGCATTGTGGGGAACGGCGCGGGCGGGCAGCGACGGAGCACGAACGTGGACGGGGACTTGTTGCGGGACGCACTTCGAGACCGCCTAGCTCTGATGTAGGACCGTGGGGAGGGGGGGGGGGGGGGGGGGGGGGGGGGGGGGGGGGGGGGGGGAGTTGGGTAGGGGGCGATAGCACGCGGGTTGGTGCGATCGGCAGGCGGGTGGAATGGACACGTGGCCTGCGTCCATTGGTGTCGTGCACGAAGTCGCTGGGTCGATTGTATGGCGGCAGGGTTGTCGTTTGTGACTTCCTTTCTTCTTTTCATCGTGTGGACGGTTGCGTGGTTCGTACAGGTATAAACGTTTGATATTGGAAGAACCTTTCTTTTTTGTGTCTCTCTCTCGTTTTTTTTTTTTTTTTTTTT